GATACTATCATGCCATGCACTTGATCTTGGTAATTCATAAATAAAGTCCATCACGATGTGTTCCCATTTCCACTCTGGTATGGGTAGGGGTGTAGCAATCCAGCAGGTTTTTGATGCTCTGCCTTCACTTGCTGGCACGTCAAACACTTAGCGACAAAATGTGCCACATCTTGCTTCATGTTGTTCCACCAGAAGGTCTTTTTCAAATCCTGGTACATCTTTGTACTCCCTGGGTGTACCGTGTAATGGGAGTGGTGTGCTTCCTATAGGACAACCCTTTTTTTTTTTTCTCATCATTCGGAATACACACTCGGCCTTTAAACCTTAACAAGTCATCACTGCTCAAAGAAATCTCCTTTTCCTTCCATGTTCAGTTCTTTGAGGATTTTTATCAGTTGGGGATCTCTTTTTTCGATCGCTTGAATTTGTTGAAGGAGTTGGGGTTCCATCCTTAAACATGACAGCATTCCTTCCCCCTCGCTATGGGGCTGAGATGGATGCCACTCCACCACATCCTCTAACAACTTTATTTCTCGAACCATTAAATGTACCACAGAGACCACAGCTTTTCGACTTAAGGCATCGGCTACTACATTAGTCTTGCCCGGTTGGTAATCAATTGTACAATCATAATCATTCAATAAGTCCATCCATCTTCTTTGCTTCATGTTCAGCTCTTTCTGGGAAAATAGATACTTGAGGCTTTTGTGGTCCGTGAACACTTTAAACTGGGCCCCGTAGAGGTAGTGTCTCCAGATTTTTAACGCGAACACTACTGTCGTGAGCTTCAAGTCGTGAGTGGGATAGTTCTGTTCATGCGACTTTAGTTGTCTGAAGGCGTAAGCAAGAACTTTACCTCTTCTCTTGCTTTTTTTCTCCCTCCCTCCTTCTGATAACAGTACTGATAACAGCCCAAAAGATGAGGCGTGGTGATTTATGTCACAAAGTTGTTCGTAATGTCTCCAATGGCACTCCCAATGTCATTGGGCCATTGACAACCCGCCCACAAAGTTATACCCGGGCCAAGATCACGTGATCTTGGAGCATTTAATGGTGCTGACCATAATTAATGTTGATTCGGGGCCATTGCCAATGGCACCGAAGTCATTGCAAGTAGCGCTAGGATTTGAACGGCCCAGATTGCATAAAAAATTATCAACGATGATCGTGGAACTATTTTGCATATAAATAGATGGCTCTTCTTCAAGCCAAAGGTCGAATTTTTTTTTTATATAAAAGTGTGCGCAAGCTCTGCCGGACCAAAATCAAGCCTATCTAGCTCCTAAAAAACCAAACTCGAACCTCATATCTAAAAACTTAAGAATCTCACCCAATTCAATACAGACTGAAGGCGGTCCGGATAATTCGACTTTTCAAACCTCCTATAACTTTGACCAATAAAAACTCGAAGGACCAGGACTAGCCGTGCAATTATTGACTCTAAATCGGCGCCGACTCTGGGTGTTGGGGCCAAGGGGCCCGACCTAAGATATCATTTTCCTCTTTTTTCTTTTGATTTTATTAATGGAATTTAAGAGCTTCCTTTGATTTTTTTTTTGCATTTATTAGCTATCCTTTAGTTTTAAAGCTCTGCACAAAATTCCCCTTATTTTCATTAAATATTTTTAAACTCCTCTCGAACTCCAAGGCTAAGGTGTGTGGGAAGCCGGCACTACTAGCGGTCCAAGCGGATTAGGTCTTTTGGCCCAATTCTCATTCGAAATGCAAGTTGATGGGACCCCCTTTCTATCAACTCTTTTGACAAGTTTACACCTGTAACCAAGGTGGGGACCAAGTTCCTAGCTCGAATTTTTAAGTATAAACAATCTGGTGCCCACCGTGGGGCCCGTCAAGCTACCCTTACACCCTAGCCATTGAAGTTGACCCTTTGGACTTCATCCCAAAAGGCCACCTTCACCCTGGAGTTCGTCTCGGCTCGTTTCGAGCCTCTTTTCGCTTCTTTTGGGGTCTAGAACACAAAAATGTCACTGGAAATAGTGTTAATTCTAGCTCCAGTAGTGTCTTCTTGTCTTCGTACCTTCTGTGCATTCCCTGGAATCTCAAAGTACAGATCGACATTGATAGTGTTGTTGAAACCATTGCTAGTGGCTCTGAGCCTCTGACACGTTGGAAAACGTTGTTGGCCCTTCACAATCTTTATGGTTTCTATTTCGAGTTCAGGGAACTTTTAGGCCAATGACATTGCCAACAACGTTGACACTATTGGCACTGTCGCCGGTCCCTTCTTCCTCGTTCTCTTCTTTCTTCAGTCTATCCGAAGTGACAAGAGTATTCCTTACGCGACACTGTCACTAACGTTGATGCCATTCACAGTGGCACCAAAGCCAAAACTGTTTGCTGGTCTCAACAGGTCCTGGTCTTAAGCATTGTGTCTTACATAACAAACATCTATTAATGATAATCATACCTCTCTTTCATAATTGTTCATATTGAGCGTGTTCTTTGTCTACGCAGAATCTAAAGAAAGTCTCTCACTCTATATGGGATTTTAAGCGCCCACACTCTTGCAATATCGTTTACCTCATTAAAAAACCGATCTCTATTAATAAGGGCATATAGCGATTTGAATGAGAATCGTCCATCAGTTTCAAGCCCAAAGTGGCGTATCCTTGTTCTCTGGCTTATAAAAGTGGCTATGCAATATGCTTAGCAACTAGGCAAACTTATCAGCTATCTAAGCATCGACCCTTATATGACAAAAATCAATATCCCACACCAAATTCCAACATGCTTCTAAGACTACATCTTTCACCAAACAATTCTTCTGCACTGAGACTTTATGAAGCTCTTTGAATTGGACATGAAGGGGGTGTTGTACAATCTATTTAGAAAACCAAAACTTGGTCTTCTTACCATATCCATCCAACATTCTTGAATATATGAGGTCAAAACGTCTCACAAATTCAATTCCTTTCCAAATAGCAGAGGCAGATCTCCTACTTTTGAGTTGTTTCGTCAATAATACATTCTCATCAGTTTCATATTTTGTCATCTTCCAAAGATGTTGAGCTTCTGTACTCAGCCTCCACCACAATTTAACTAACAGGGCTCAGTTGACCAGTTTAAGCCTCCTTATTCCTAACACGCCATTCCTTACAAGAGTGCAAACATCAGACCAATTCATCCACTCCACTACTCCGCATAAACTTTCTCATCAAAGTCTTTTAACTTTTCCGGGTGCTTTGAACAACAAATGAAATAAATGGGAAAGTTAGCTAAGTGGCTTTCATCAGAGTGATCCTACCACCAAAAATTTCCACCCATCAAGCTTTTGCTGAAATATTTTAATCACAGGCTCCCAAGCAGCTCTAAAAAGTCTATCCTTAACAAGGGGTACACCAATGTACCTCATTGGAAGAGACTTGACTCCACAAGCCATCCAATCAGCCACTCATGCACTTCTTCAATGTAGCGATATAAACCGGTCAATTTAGTCTTGACAAAATTGATTTTGGGCTCTGAGATATGGTGGTAATACTTGAAGAGCAATCATAACACTATATTTGATCTAGATCAGCCTTTAGAAGTATATCATCTACATATTGCAGATGAAAGATGACAGGGCCATTAGTAGAGTCTTGCAGAACTTTCAACAAGCCACTTCTCAATCTTGATAGCTTTCTTGTCTTCTTTACGGTTATTATTTCCTTTTTTTTTTTTCTCAGGATTTCTCTAGTTTGATATTTCTTATAGTTTTTACCTAATGTTTCTTTGTTGATTTCATGCTAAATTCTGTTGTTTATCTCATTTTTATTTTTTCTAATTTCTTTCGAATTATCCATTTCTCTAATCATGGTTAGCCATTCTCTGATCATGGTTAGCCATTTTAAGTTTGATTCAAAATGTAACAGTACTTATTCTTTCTTATTTCCGTCCTTTCGGTTTTGATGACATATTTTAGCTTGTATTGTCCTCTTTCTATTTAGGGTTAAGGTTGCTATCCTATGGGTTGTTTAGCTTGCATTGTTGATTTCGTTTCAATTTAGGGTTAGGCTTGTTGTATTGTGCTTTTAAATCTACTAGGTATTTGATTATTCAATATTGAAATTAGGTTAAGGTTCCAGTTTCATAGTTCACTTATTTTTGCCCCTTTTTGCAATCATTAGAGTTTGATCACTGATATTTGCCCCTTTTTGCAATCACTAGGGTTTGATCCTTACATTGATCATTTTGTGCCCTTTTCTTTCTCTCATTTTTTGTATTTATTGAGTAAAATTTTCTGCAATTGTTTTTGTCTGACGGTTTTAATATTCTTTCCCCTTTTGTTTAGAGTTCTCCTTTCCCCCTTTTTATGCTAGAATTTCACCTATTGAATTGTACTCTTTGATCCATTCCCCTTTCATTGTGCTGTTACCACTATTCATTTTATTGTTTCGTGACCGTCTCTGCAAAACTCCGCTGAGTGAGTTGGCAACACACCCTTTTTACACTGTAAAAATAAAAAATAAAAATTTTCTAAAAATAATAAATATTACGAAAGGCAGTTAGAGTTAAAAACATTAGAAGGCTATGGAAGATGGACCAAAAAACTATTAAATAGGGACTATTAAAAATTTTGATTTATACCATGAAAATTTTAGAAAAGATAAAAAAAAAAAGAAGAAAAAAACAAGAAAAATGTGATAGATTATATCATTCTAAAAACTACCACGATCATCTAAAAATTCATTTGTAAGCAATATATTAATCATTTTTATTTTTTTTAGATTTTTAACCAATTTTTTAATCTTTTTTAAAAACAAAATTCAAAAAATATAGCAAAGAATATTTTCTCAAAGAGTTTTTCTCTCTAAAATTTTTTAGCCACTAGGGCAAGGCCAAGTTACTTAGTTCAAGTGGACTTGGATGAGTCACGGAACACTGCTTCGTTCATAACAATTTTTTTACCTATTTGAACCATTAATTAATCTGCGGAATATTCGGCACCGGAGAATCGCAAAATGTCAAGAGGAGGCAAGGGTTTAGGAGGAGAGTGACTGTTCCATTGAAATTCGGTTATCATCAACATTTCACTAGGTCTGAGGGTTAAAATACAATCATCAACTACAAATGGATTTCATCAACCACGGATTCGTTTTCATATGAGTTGAACATCTACATTTAAGAAAAAATGTAGATTGAATTCCATTTACATAATTTTGGTATCCACATCTTCCATAATGCCATGCAAAAGGTCGAATTTGCGATCCACATTTCCATAACTTGATGAGCAAAGTCAAAAATCATAACTAGTTTGGCCACCCATTTTTCGGTGGGAACGACACAAAAAACGGCCCTTTACAATTACATGAACTCATTCTTGGCACCATCATGGTTTGAATGAAGGCAATAGTGATCAGATGAGAGCCCATGTTGATGTGGTACTCCAAATTCTGTTAGTTTGCCATGCTCTCCAAATCGATTCCAACAAACTCTGCTAATTTGTTGGGTAGCACAAAGGGATCAATTCATCATAAACTAACCAAACAATATTTAATTCTTAGGTCCATCAAGATGATAGAAGCTCCTGGAGGAGCAGGACCGCACATCAACATGCGTGTCCCACATAAACATGACCCCAACTAGAGCTGGCAATGGCTCGGGCAGTTTGGCCCTGAGCTAGGGCTAGTACCGGCTGAGACAAACTGTGTCCCGGCTAGGGCCAATACTGGCCCAGCCCAACCCTCTTTTTCTTTTATTTTTTCTTAGGAAAAGGTTTATATAAAGTGTAACTTTATGCCGTACAAGTAAGGTGCACCCGAAAAGTCTAGTGGAGAAAGGTGTTTCGTATGTTGTAAAACCATCAAATTGAACATCTCGACATCAGTATTCATAGTTACGAAAAAAAGGGGATTTTTAGTCCAAAAAGTTCATCCTCTAACACATTATCTGAACTGTCCATTTTAAAGATTTTTAAGTATTCATAGATCTGATCGTCACCATTTCTGGAACTTTAAATTTCATAATTGAGGGCAGCAATAAATTTTCATATCACAACAGGACTTTTATAACCCAAAAATTACAATTTCTACATAGTTTTGAGATGGACCTTAGACACCGTATACAAACCTCACGCTTTTCTTTGATTGATTTAATACAAACCTCACCCTTTTTTTAATTTTTTTTTGGACTGATTTAATACAAACCTCACCTTTTTTTTCTTTTTCTTTTTTATCTTTTCTTTTTTTTTTTTTTTATTATACAAGGGTGTGGTTTGTATAGAGCCGAGGCTCTAAACAATCGAATTAGAGCCAACCTTCAAATAGTGCAGAGAAATGTGGTTTTTCAATATTGTAAATCTTTGATTCGCCTTAAAATATATGTTTATCTTCAATTATAAAATTTAAAACTTTAAAAATAGTGTAGATCAAACAGATCTATAAAAATTTGAATATATTAAAAATTGACAATCCAAAGTGCCTTACAAAATGCACTATTTCCAAAACTTGAAATCCATATTTTTCTCCGGTCCATGCATCTTGATGTCGAGATGATTAATTTGAGAATATTTGAGCTTCAAAATAACATCTTTTAGTGAAATTTTTGAGGTATGCTCTAATTTGATTGTTTAGAGCCTACGATCTATACAAACTTTTTTTTTATTGATTTATTTGTTTATTTTTGGCTGTCCGGCCCTAAGAAGGGCATGGGCCGGGAACTAGCACAGCTGGCTCCCACCCTTAATCCAGAGAGCAATTGAAAACAAGGGGAAGGGTGGAGTTCAATGACATGGATTCTGTTTGTATCAGGAATTTGAGTAGAAAGAGAGAATAGGGGGAGGCGATGAACTTACCCGTTTCTCTCTCTTTAACTTCCTGAATCATCCTCAGCACCTGTCTCATGGTTGGCCTCTGATCAGGCGAGGGGCAAAGGCATGCGACTGCAATATTCAGCAGCATCAACAACTTGTCATCGTTGGGCGAGCCATCGTCCTCAGCTCTCACTGATCTCACCCACCGCGCCAAGTCCATGCTCACCAGAAACGACTGCATTGGTGTCTTACCAGTCAAGAGCTCAAGCAGCAACACCCCAAAACTATACACATCAGACTTGCTGCTCATTCTCTTGTTGGATTTTGTCAGCTCTGGTGCTCTGTAGTACCCTGCTGCTGTCTCCTCTGATTGATCGGATGTGCCCTCACCGTCGGCAAGAAGGGGAGTGAGGCCGTAGTCGGTGACGCAGGCCTCAAAGTCCGAGCCTAGGAGGACATTTAAGGACTTGAGGTTGCCGTGGACATGGACTAGTGGGGATGCCTGGTGAATGTAGGCCACGCCCTGTGCTACGTCTTCTGCTATCTTCAGGCAGGAGGTCCAGTGAAGAGGCTTCGCACGAGCTGATCTAGAGCCTGCTGGACTTAACACAATTAGGGAGAAAGGGAGATAAACACCCACGCCATGGATCACAAAATCGTAACACAATTGAGAGAGACAGACCATTCTAACTCAGTAACGCCTATTCAATCCTCACCAACCCGAAAATATAATTCCAATTATAAATATATATACAGATAATGGAGCCCTAAAATCCAATTCTGACTCAAAAAATATGCACACGGACAGAGAAACCCCATTTCTCAGACAAGGAAATCCCATTTCCCATGCACCAGAAACAAAAAGAGGGAGCCCCAGTCTTCTAATTCAGAAAGAGAGCCCCAAATCCAAATTTCATACAAGAAAAAAACTAGACATTAAGAAATAAAACCCAGCCCCGAATCCAGTTTTTACTCGATAAAAACTAGACAGATAAACATATCCCAATCTGATATCCATTTGGACACAATAGAAACGCAGAGGGAGAAACACAGCGCCAACTGAATTTAAATAAAAAATAAATAGACCCAGAAAAAAAGAGAGAAATGCGAGCCCGAAATTTTGTTTTTGTGTAACAATATCCATTTTTTACTCAATATAACAGCATATAGTGAGACAAAACCCACCCCAAATCCATTTTTCACACAACAAATAAGAATATAAGAGGATATGGTGATAAAAATCCATTTCTCATCCCAATCCCTTTTCGACTCAACAGGAACAGAGAGAGAGGAAACGCCCCAAATCCAATTCTAGCTCAATAATTTTGCAGATTATTGCTGTGTGTTTGAGAGAGTGAGAGAGGAGGGAATAAGGAGCAGATCATAACCATGGATGAGTGAGAAGAGGCTCCCATTGGGCTGGTAATCATAGATGAGCAGCCGCTCGTCCTTGGCATGGACATAAGCCCGAAGCGGCACGAGGTTTGGGTGACGCAGGTTTCCGAGAGTGTGCATGCGCCTCTCAAAATCCTCCCTCCCCATCACCGAGCGCCCTCCATTGAGCCGCTTGACACTCACAATAAGCTGGCTCTCCAGCACCGCCTTGTATGTTGTTCCCACCGTCCCCCTCCCCAACATCTCCGCCGACGCCCTCAGAAGCTCCTCCAGTGTGTATGTCTGCATCTCCCCCGCACAGAACGTCAGGCTCCCGCTCTTCCCCCCACCCTGTTGCATCCCCCTCCACCCCTTCCTCTCCTCTGTCCCTGCCTCTGATGCTGCCTTCTCCGCCGCCCCCAGTTTCTCCTCAACCTCTCCATCTCCCACATTCATCCTCCTCTTTCTCCTCCTATGAATGATCCCCAAACCCAACAGAAACAAGCAGCAGACCGTAACCCCTGCTATGCTCAACGCCCCTGCAACCCATTTCCTACTCCTCTGCTTCTTTGGAGGTGCCGCGATCCCGTCGATCTCTGGCTGCTGTGGTTCTTGGGCTGCTTCTGGCGCTGTGGTGATGAAGAACGGTCTGGGTGAGAGGCCCAGTTGGGAGCACGGCCTGCCGATCCCATTTCCACAAAGCTCAGGGTTCCCGAAGAAAGATGTCGAGTTGAAGAGGGAGAGTGCTCTTGTGATGGGCACAGGGCCGGTCAGGAGGTTGTTGGAGACATTGAAGATGGCGAGGGAGGTCTGGTTAAGAGGGGGAATGGTGCCATTGAAGCGGTTGTCGTTGAGCTGGAGGTTGTAGAGTCTGGTGAGGTCGACGAGGGTTGGCGGCAAAGGGCCAGAAAGGTTGTTGTGAGAGAGGTCAATGGTGCGAAGGCGATGGAGAGAAATCAGACCTGTTGGGAACGGGCCTGTGAAGCGATTGTAGTCCAAGAAAAGGCCCTTGAGATCAGAAAGAGAGGAGAAGTCAGGGATAGGGCCAGAGAGGGCATTCCCCTTGAGGCTGAGCACCCTGAGCTGGTCCAGCTTGCTCAGGGTGCCATCCGCAAAAGTGCCATTAAGGCCGAGCCCTTCGAGCACCAGCCTAACCACGCGGCCCTGAGCGCACTTCACCCCCGGCCATCCGCAGTAGTCCCACCGCTTCTTCACCACAAACCTCAGGACATCAAGGCGGTCGGCAGAGGCTTTGAAGGCCAACAGCGCCAAAGCATCGCCCTCTGCACTGGAATTACTCGTTCCAGCGCCAGCAGCAGCGAGGAGCTGCAGCAGCAGGAGGAGGAGGAGGAAGACAAGGTGAGCCACGAGGGTGGCGGCCCCGTAGCTCCGCGTCTGCTTCCCCCTTTTCATATCCGTTTCTTAACGGAAGAGCGCAGCAACGCACAGCAATAATAAGAATGGGAGCAACAAAAAGTGGTGGGTGGGGCAGGGCAGTAAAAAGTCCGTGCATTGTCACGTGGGTGGAGCAGCATAGGCAGGCCGCTCGCCCTAAATCCAACAATATATTGTGCCTGCTGGAGAGAGACTTGACACGGGTTGGAAAATGAGTTAAAAGTAGAGACTGGTAAACAATGTAAAAGGGTCGGTTTCCGATGGAACAAGAGTGAGGTTTGGGGTTCTGTTTTTTCGAATGTGCATTTACATTTTTTGAAATTTGCATTGAAATTGAAAAGATGGAGAGTTTGCTCCCAAACTTGGAGGGGCCGAAGCTGGAGGTACCGTCCTAGTAGCAAGCTGGATGGATGGGTAAAAAAGACGAAGGGAAAATTACAAAAACTCTACCTTAGACAATCTACTTCCAATCAAGTTTTTTTTAGCAATTTTTATATCAAAATTGAGCTATTTTAAAAAATGCTTTCGACTTATTTTGTGTCGAACCATATGTTTTTTAAAAGCCCAAAATGTTGAATTGCTCCTATTTTATGCTTTTCAAAAACCCAAAGCCTTGAATCTCTTTTATTTTATGCCGAACTACCCCTATTTTGTTTCAAACTGTATGTTTTTTTAAAGCTCAAAGTGTCCGAATGCTTTCATTTTGTGCTTGACTGCATGTTTTTTAGATGGTAATTTGATTTTTTTTTATTTTTTTCCACTTAAAAGTATTTGTTAAGAAAAAATTAGGTAAAAATTACTTAAATTTAGTTAAAAAGAGGTAGTCTCTAAAATATTAATTTTGACATGTTTCCGTAATTTTCTGCAAAAAGAAAGAGACAGCCGGTGGTGGCATGATGCATGATGAGTGCACTTTTTGTTTGTGCTTGGAAGCGAGTGAGGCCGACTCATCTATCCACGCATAAAACCCCAAGGAATGTAGCAATGCAAGAACACATCCTTACTCGTATGTTTGTTAAAGGCCACGTTGACAGCTCTGCGTTGCTCTCTTAGCACTGATGTTTTTTTTTTTTTTTTTTCTCCTTCCATTTCTTATCCTTAGGGAGTTAGGGTTTGGTTATTAAATATGGTCTGGCTGGGGGTAGATGATGTCATTCGTTAAGCTCTTATAACCAAAAGAGGAGTAACAGCTGGACATGGGAGGAAGGGACTCATGTGCTCTACTGTGACAGTAAAAGTACGTCACTTTTGTTGGTTTTCGGTGGTTTGAATTTGAATTCCGGTTTTGCTAATGCAACTCGTTAATAAATATCAAAAGCTGTGGTTTGTATAAGGCTGTAATTTTAAGCAATCAAATTAAGAGCTTAATTGGTTAACACAACGATTTGCAATGGTACATCCCCAGTGACTCGCCCATACCAAGGTGGGGCCCTCTTCCAACTGACCCACCTAAACAAACATCGAGATGTAATTTGAAGTGTTCAAAATTTTCAGGATAATTTGAGAATCTATTTTTATCTTTAATTATAAGAATACGGTTTGTATAGAGCTTAGGCTCTAAACAATCAAATTAGTGCCTACCTTCAAATAGCATCAAGAAATATGGTTTCAATATTAAAAAATTTTGTGATAGCTTTAAAATATATTTTCATCTTTATTATTAAATTTTAAAGTTTCAAAAATAGTGTAGATCGATATATCTATGAAAACTTGAAAATCTTGAAAATTGACGGTCCAAAAATGTGTTATAAAATATATTATTTTCAAAATTTGAAATCCAATTTTTTTCTCTTGTCCATACATTTTGATGTCAAGATGATCAATTTGAGGATATTTGGACATCAAAACAACCTCTTCTAGTGAAATTATTGTGATTGGCTGCAATTTGATTGTTTAAAGCATCGGCTCTATATAAACTTTTCCCTAATTACAAAAGTTTAAACTCTAAAAATAGTTCAAATCCAGGAGAACTATAAATGCATAATTTTTTTGAAAATAGACGGTCTAAATAAAATATTATAAGATGCACTATTTTTAAGAGTCGAAATCTATTTTTTACTATATCTATACATCTGGTTGTCGAGATGATCAATTAAATGTTTTTCCAACATCAAAGCAACTTTTTTGAAAGGATTTTAGAGGTGCAACTAGATTCTACATTTTAAGATAACCTTATATAACTTTTTTCCAATATTAAGTAATCAACAAAGGATCGGTCTCTTTTACGGTCGAAGTCCATTGTTAACGGTTGGGCAGGTGTTAAGATATTTGTTAAAGGATTATATAGTGCTTATGTACTATAAAACCCTTAGGAGCTATCCTGCAATTTATTTGCTAGAATTGCTTTCCAAAGGCGAAAGTTCAATTTTGAACTGCCAACTGGGACAGGATGTTCCTCTGCAGGAGATGATATGCTCCCCAAGCATAATGTCCATTTGCTTGCAAGTGTAAACTAAGAAACCGTAGGGCACATTTCATAATTGGAAGTTTCAGCTACATATGCTTGAAGTTCCAATTTACTATAGCATTTCATTTTTTTTATCTTTAATATTAATAGTAACTTTCATTAATATATAGAGCAGAGCTCAAAATTACAATAGAAAGAAGAGATGAAGAAATAAAAATAACAAAACATGAATAACCCTCAACACCTACATACTCAAAAACACAAATTGCCTCAGTATCTCATCAAAACCATCACAACAGCTCCCTTAGGCGACAAACTCCTCAGCATACCACTCAAACTAAACCACAAACAAGATGTTCAATAAACAAACATCCCTTTTAACAATAACCTCATGACCCGGGGTTGGAACAAAGCGCCAACCAGAACAGAATTAACGACGCCCAAGAGAAATATAATCCGAACCTAACAGTGTAGCTGTGGGGTTGGGGCACAATCAATGGCTGAAATGCAAGGTCTTAAATGGGAATGAACGAGGCAGTGAAGAATAGAAACCAAAGAGAACATAAATTGGAGAAGAGCTGGGAATGAACTCAGAGGAAAAACCAAGGCACAGTGAGAAAGGAGACCAAACTCAATTAAGTTTCCAAAAAAAAATTGTACCGTACGTACAAAGAAAAACAAGCTAGCAACAAAAATGAGAGGAAAGAGAAAGAAGAAAGAAGCATAAAAAACCCAAAAAGACCAAGAGACCAGAAAAAGGCGAGAAGCAAAAGAAGAGCGACAGAACAGAAAGGAAAGGAGCCTAAAAAGGTACCAGAACAGGATTTAGATCTCAAAGAAAACTCAGATCTGAGAAAAACACCTAAATCTGAAGCAAAAGCCTTAGATATATGGCAAGGAGCCCATAGATATGCAGCCACAATTTTATATCTAAGGCCAGGGGAAAAAGGAGAGACAACACTGAAGGGAAAATAGATGAACACCTAGGTCACCTGTGTCCTTTTATTGTCACAACAGGAAATCGAAGAGCTCTATGTTGCCGGTCTATGCTCTCTTCGATGGCCTCTCAAGCAGCACCAGGGCTCTTGCCCGTGGTCTCCAAATTTCTACTATAGCATTTCTTTGCATGACAACAAGAACAGCTACAAGCAATTGGCTTTAGGAATTTGTTGTTGATAATCAATTTGCATCTTCTTTCTCCGTCAACTATGCCCTTTCTCTCTCTAAACCTTATCTTTCTAAACATGCATTTCTTACTCTAACACCTCTCTCTCTCTCTTTCTCTCTAATTATGTCGTTTCTCTCCTAATTGTGCTTCCTTTCTATCTACAAGCCTATTTGTAAACTCCCCCTTAGTAGATCTTTATACATTTTGGAAATAAGTAGGGCTGTAGTAATATGTAAATTGGATTTTAAACTCAACCAGAAAAATCAATAGACTTATGCCATGCAACCCTTTTTCACTTTATAAATTTCATTAGGACTCCAAAAATGACACACAAAGATCACTAACTTTATCAGTACAAAATAATCAAAATCTAAAATTGATTGTAATTTATTGTAAACCTCATCCAAGCAACCTCAAGCTAATCTCCAGCAAGCATATACTCATAAAAACCCAATATAAATCATTCCAACAAACTCAAAATGATGCCCTATAATTTTTTCTTTGTTCATGTAAACTTTTCCCCACTTCAATTAATATTTTAAATACAAAATATGTACAAAATATGTGGAACAAATCTGCCAAATTCATAGAGATTTTGCAGGCCCAGTTTTGTAGCCTTTTTAGGTAGAAAAACATTGAAAGTGTGCTCTCTATCAATATATTGTAGGAGAGGCAAGAGAAGCTTGTTGCAAAACAAGCGTTAGCAAATAATCTAGAGAAAAAAAGTGTTGTGAGAAGCAACACGGTGCTGTAATGTATCTCGTAGGGCTCTCATAGAGATGACATGTACGTCTTTATACCCAGCTTATAAGGAAGCTTAAGAGATAGAAAATGAGCTCATGCAAGGTGCTTAAGTCTCTCAAACCTTTTCCATTTATAGGCACTTAAAGGAAATTGAGAGAAACACTTTGTAGACATCCCCTTGAAATTTTGGCTAAGGGAACTCCTATAAATCTTGATTCTAGTCCTAAAGAACCACACAAACCCTAGTAGATCATAGGCAACGTAGACCCAATTTAATTAACCCAAAACTACCCAAATCCTATCCTAACTTGAAGTAGAGCTTAAGAACTTTCCAACGGTCCAAGAATTGTTTGAATCGGACCTACAGATAAAAAGATATAATAAATGATAATTTGATCCCTTTGGGTTGATGACACAGTCAACACATCTGATGACACAGTAAATGCGTTTTCTTTAATTAGATAAGGCTAAACTTCAAGATAAATCCAAAAACATCCAAAAAAACTCCAAACAAATTAGAAAAAATCACCAACGGAGTTCTATAAATACCCCCTTCATAACCTAAAGGAAAGAGATGATAAACCATGTAGAAATCCTTTAAAAATTCTTGAAATTAGAAAAATAGCCCAAAAATAGGAAAACACTTAGAAATTTCCTAAAAATTTAGGAAAAATCTCCGAAAATCCCAAAAAATTAAAGACAAAACTAGAAGCCATATTCACCTCTGGAGATCCCAAAACCT